TTTTAAACCGATCAGGCATAACACTATAAACTCCTGCCTAATATTAAACCCATGAATGTGTAGTGTGGTATCTGGCAATGAGATGTTATCAACAGGTCCTTTATTTCCTATAAGTTGTAAGGTGGAGCCTCCGTCAATCGGACTTGTTTGTCCCACATATGCTCGACTGTACCCAGTCAACACAAATATGTGGGGCCCAAATAGGGAGTAGCAGGGCTAATATTTGGGGCCCACTTGGGAAACCCAACTGGGGTCCAGCTAATTTTGTCCTCAGTTGTCATGGTGGCCCCAAATGTGTTTTGCCAGATGGGTTTATGCTGGGCCCCAGATAAGCCCCAAATCAGGCCCAGTCAAAAAAAAATGTGGGGCCCAGATGGGTAGAAGCAAATATGATATTTGGGGCCCACTTGGGTTACCCACCTGGGACCCAGCTAATTTTGTCCTCAGTTTCCATGGTAGCCCCAAATGTGTTTGCCCAAATGGATTAATGATGAGATTAACTTTCCTCATTCACCCGCTCACTCTTTCATAAAGGTACTTTTTTCTATGCTTTTTCTACATTCTACTTTGTTTCTACTTCCTCCAAAGGGTACTTGGACCTCCCTTAGAGACAAGGTGAAGAGATAGGTCCTTTGAGAGAGGCCTAGAGTAGAGCTGCTCATTCCTTCACATGAAAAAGGGCCAGTTGAGATGGTTTGTACAATGCCTGAAAACATTACCTCTGTGTGAGATGTACCTGGCATGACCTACCAGGAGGAAGCCTGGGGTAGACCAAAGACATGTTTGAGAAATTATATCTCTTGGCTAGCCTAGGAACACGTGGTGTTCACCTAGTAAAGCTGAAGGAGGTGACCAGGGTGACCAGGAGGTGACCGAACAACCATTAGCAGATAAATCAACAGAAAGGAAGGATTTTTTTTACATTACATGTACCCTTTACATTCCCCATTGTGAATAAAACATTTTATTTTCAGTACCTTCTAAGTGGATCTGTGCAGTGTAGCCGTCAAAGAAGACAGAGATGGTAGAGTATGAGAGCGACACCTTGGCAGTGACTCCAGTTCGGTCTTTAGAGAGCTTCACATTGTGAACCAGCTGAGGCGAACTATTGAGGGTCAGGATTGAGTTGTCCAGCT